TAATGTTTTGACAAGGCCCAATAAGTGACAATAGAGTTTATGTCCGTAGGTGCTGCTCAGTTTTGTTTGTGTAAAAATCCAATAAATTGACTGTTGTCGATGAATATGAGCGCCCGCCGGTGCGTGTTTTGTACAGCCAGTAAAACATGATAAATTGGACTTCCCCACTTTCGTGTGAAAACGTACATCGAACTCATGTATCTCTAGTTTTGAAATATGTTTAAGGTTGATAAATGTTTGAGAACATATTAAAAACTTAGCTGAAAATATGTGAATACAGCAGAAATAATCAGCTTTCTTTAATCAACTCGAATACTCGGCACTCGAATAAAGATTTCGATTTTGTTGGTTGAGTTATCAAAATTCCTTGTCTATTTTATTTTCGCAGAGTAAAATTTCACCATGTTAAAGAAACACCCATCATGTTAGTAGCGTTTTGGCGTCGGTGAAAATTGTTGCAGCATCTCGGCACAAAAGACAGCGAAAGAAATCTTTGTCAAGATTTGTTGACAGTTGAAAACACCGACTCGGACTTGAAAGTGCACGCGTTGCGCTATGCAAATGAGCTACTTGCAGGCGTCAGACTTTCCTTTCAAAAACTTTTGCAAACTCGCTAAACAAACAGAAACAAGAAGAAACTATCAAAACAGGGTTTGGTTATGATTAAGCACTGTTTGGGAAACTCACAAAATAACTCGATACCAGAGTAAAGAGTTTTCTTACACAACTTTTCTTTACAGAACAAGCGCAAAAGCATACGCGCACAGCTAGCGCGAGCATTCATTCACAGCGCGAAATCGAAGCCTTGTTTTCGACCCTGAAAAACTCACCTTTTCCATTAGCTGATAGCATAAAACTACATATAAGAACCCTGGTTCTTATTCTCTGCCTTATTCCCTGCCGTCGCTGTGAAAAATCTGCAAGAGAATCTCTCAGCTCTCACCATTTGATCACGCAACTTGACAACATCCGCGCCAGAGCTCCCGACGTGTGCGTGGATCCGTGCGGATATATGACGTCAAGATGGCACAATTTGTTCTAAAAATAGAAAAATTGTCCCATATCATAGGTGCGCGCGGATCCCAGGACTTACGGTCTCCGTCCCTGATTATGGCTCCTGGTCTTACGTACTTGTAATTATACTATGTTGTGACTATAGGCAATTGGATTGAATCCTTTCATGAAATCCTGTAGGGTTTCATTGTTTCCACTATAAAAGACCATAATTTTCCTTTTCTGTTAATCTTGTACGGTGGACGAAGATAAGAAAGAAAGAAAACGCATCTAGAATAATAATTAGGATTTTTGTTCGTATGAAAGACCAAAAAAATAATCCTTTAATTCTACCAAAAAAGTAGGTACTTGTAAGAAGTTGTGACCGGGTAGAAGTCTACAAACAGAATATTATAACGCACTAAATAGTAGTAAAAAAAAGTTACTTTACATAAATTTCAATTTTACACAACAGCTTTTACAAAGTAGATAAATGTTCTGTAAAGAGTAAGGAATTGCTTATTATTTAGGATTCGTATCTTGTTACTCCTAGTCCTACTATACTCCTAGTCGCTTCATGCTACTGAAACTGGGATAAGCTCCAGCCTGATGAGCCACTTGGCTCGCATGCAGACTTTACCTTTTTTATTGTATCTTTTTAGGATTGAGAGACAATTTACTAAAATTAATTAGAAAACAGTGCTAGGAAAATACGCGCGCTGATTGGTAAAAAATCATGTTTCTATAACTCGATAGAAACACAGACCTAGCACGAGCTGTTGACGTAATGATGGCGCGAGCAAAGAGAATTTACATTTTGATAATCAAGGTTAACAAGTTGTTTTCCTTTTTTCGTCGTGTTGTTTTCTAAAAGAAACAGAAAACATGTTCCCCGTGTTTCTGTCGAGTTATAGAAACACTCGTGAAAGTTTGGGAGAATTCGAAAGAGCTGTGGAAACACTCGCCTCCGGCTCGTGTTCCCACAGTATTTCTCGTTCTCCCAAACTTCCACTCGTGTTTCTATTTAACAATTAGATTATCACCTCATGGAAATCGAGAGCGAATAATGTAATTGTTCTAGTAGAATTCTAACTAAAGTTTACGTCAAATAACGGTTTCCAATTATTTTATTGACGTATCATTAAACTTTGCGCCGTCGCTCGGATTGACTTGTTATTTAAAATTGAAGTTGTGTGCTCGCGCGCATCAGTTTTTTCAATAATTTCAACTTTTTTTAAAAAGTCAAGAAACCGTAAATGTCCTTCGTTTAGACTTCTCGGAAATTTAATTATCCATTTGCATCGAAAAATTTCCTCCAAAACTGCGGAAGAACGAAAAAACGTCGCCATTTCCTAGACAACCTCCAGCCACTGCACACTAATGGCTGATAGTGTTCAATGGCTCAGCCAATCAGAGTACAGCATTTGCATCAGTATCCTAGTAGAATTCTACTAATAAACAATTACATTATGAGCTCGAGATTTCTATCACGCATAGAAATCGAGAGCGAATAATCTGCTTGTTTTAGTATAAATCTGCTACTCGTTCAAAACTTTATCTAAATCCTCTTCACAGACACTTCGAAAGCGCCAAGAAACGGCCGTCATTTTGTTAACAAGCCCACACTGCTACACTACTCACTATCTATCACAGAATAGATAGTTAGTAGCGTAGCCATTCAGCGACCGGCATCCGTGATAGAACGCTAGTAGATTTATACTAAATCTCGATAGAAACAGGGTACATGTTTTCCATTTCTTAAATATAATTTCCCAGAATTCGTCTGTGAGGGGTATGACTGAACAGTTTTGTAATGAGATTATTTTTAATCGGTATAGGTAAAGATGTTTCATATAATTATATTTTTCAATAGGTTTTTTTTTTTCATGTAGAATGTTAGGATGTCGACTTTTTTATGTTTTACAATTTTTGCCAGCGTTGTCCGTGTATTGCGAAAACAGCCCCTCCAAGAAGCATTTTGATATGATCTGTTGATTGCTCAGTAAGCTCAAAGTTGTTCCATGCAGGGGCGGATCAAGGATTTTTTTAAGGTGGGAAGGGGAAGCTGGTACCCTGGGGTTGCAGAATCAATGGAGCATGTTCTCAAACTTTTCCCAAACGTTTTGCAATTTGACGATTGGAACCTAATTGAAAACCGTTTCATTAGAAATTACAATGAGGTACCTAACTAGAGAGTTTGCCTTTACTTCTGCCATAAAAGAGGGGTTGCTAGCCACCCAATTCCCCCCCCCCCTCCAAAAAAGAAATCGCTCCTGCTTTGCAAGAATAGTGTTTGTACACCAGTTTTTTTTTTTTTTAATTTAGAAAGATTTTTAGCACAGGGTTCTTGCGGATCCTAGAAAGCCTGGAAAGCCTGGAAAGTCCTGGAAAATTGTGGCATTTTCCAGGACTGGAAAGTCCTGGAGAAAGGTAACTGGTCCTAGAAAGTTGTGGAAATCTGTTTTAAGGTCAAATGAACCAAAATTTAGACATTTTTTTCATTTGAGTTCAATGTGTTAATTACGTGTAAAATAAACATATTCTGAAGTTTCAAACGAATTAGAAGGAGCTTTGCGGAGATTTTGGAATGTTAAAATCACTGTCTTTTATCCTTCGTAATCGTAGAGCGGTCGGGAAAATTGTAGGATAATTGTCGGAAATAAAACTTGTGACGTCACTGTTTGTGAGCTCAAGAAATGCGGGAAATTTGAAACTGTTTTGATTTCAAGTTCACAGTGAACTTCAGAGGAAAACCACTCAAAATCAAAAGTTAGCACTTTCAAGCTCCCCCAGGACCCAAAACTTAAAAGAGAATGGCTTTTAAAAATGAAAAGAGAATGCTTCATGCCCTCGAAACATTCGCGCCTTTGTGTATAACACTTTACCGAAGACAGCTTCGAACAAAATCTTGTAGTAAGGGGTTTGTTGGGACCCTCTTTGAAGCTTCGTCAACTTGTAGTCAGGAAAGACGTGGTACCGACGATTTTTAACTTCACTATGGAACGTCGCAAGCCGGCAATTGGACAAAAAACAACGAAAAACAACCGAGTAATGCCCGCCAAACATCGGGCAAGCTCCTCGGCGATTCCCAAGTAAAATGAGGTTTGTATTTAGATCCAAAACTTTCCCACGAAAGACTCACTGAAGCAGAAACGCAGCAATGTATAAGACAACAATGACGTCACAAAGCGGAGTCTCAGTTCCATTCCTTCCATTAAAGTGCGCGGTTATTTTGGAAACGTCTTCGTGAAGCCATGGGCTGTCTTCAGACTTTTAACTTTTTTATTTCGGTTTTAGCTCTAATTTATAGATTTTAATTGTATCATTATATAGTATATATCTAGTATTAGGACCTCTATGTAAACCACTTTTAGTGATGGAGCTTCCTAATAAAAGATTGTTACTACTACTTTACTCATTTTCGCGGCTCAAAAAGAAAAATTTCCGCATAAGTTTCCTTTTTACATTTTTTTCAACATTTCGTCGCTATAAAATGGCTGAAGAAAAGATGTCTACATTTTGGTTCATTTCACCTTTAACTCAAGTACAAAATATGAATTAAATGTATGGCGGACAGTAAACAATGAGATCTTGGGGGTGATAGGGTTAATGTGAATTTTATAGGGTCCTGGAAAAAATACATCTGAGTCCTGGAAAAGTCACAGAAAAGTCCTGTCCAATTTCAAGGGCCTCGATCAAAAAACAATCGTGAGTGCAAAGCTATAGTTGTAAACAAGGAGCAAAAATGTAAGTATTCAGCTAAAGACCGATAAGGATCGTAGCAAAGTTATGGCCGTCTCAGCTAAACTCTTGTCGTAAAGATAATATGATGTAACATCTGCTCCTTTCTCTTGAAATGAAAATGAAAACTTGTCAACAAGGATTGTCAAACGCTAAGGGAAAACTCGAGAGAGAAACAGAATGTTTCGCGAGAAGAATAGAGGATCTATTCTCCTCACTATTCAGGTTATCGGCCGAAACATCTTCTATCTCGCATTTTTCAATTCTCGCTAGCCTGCATTAGCGTTACGAAGGAAATGTACTTTCCGTGTTTATTCATTAGAATTAAATTTCCGTCTGTAACACAGGCTAGTTTTCAAGACTTCATTCAGTGAGGGACGTCTGGTGGCAGTGACCACCATTTTTTATCAGGATAGCCTGGTACCTCGGTGTTTTCTACAGGGCACTTGGCACCAGCATCAGAATCGGAATGCCGTGTCTGCTTCTTGGGGCTTTCTCTTGTAGTTTGTCGCATCCTTATAGATCGCTCGCCGCACTTAGCTGCTTGTTCCAGCATCTCCAGCACGCGTTTCTTGTAAACTGAATCATATTCTTGTCCGCGCACTGAATTGGCGATCATAAACACGCCGTTTTTCTTGTCGCTTCCAGTGACTTCAATAGCTGCTTCCTTCAGCCTCTCTCTTTCTTCATCGGCATTCGGCTTTTTGGCGATTTCGTCATCAAATGTGATGACAGTGATGATCTTGATTGCTGTCATAAACAGAAAACAGAGCAACAGTTAACTAAAAAGTTGAGATAAGTTAAGAGTTCAACTCCTACAGGATTGGTTTAGGACATCAACATGGCCACCGTTTCATTGATTTGGAACACCAATATGGTTGCCGTGACGGCATGTGAAAACGCTCTATAGCTGTGATGATTTTGATTGCTTCCAAAAACGGGGCGTACATTATGGTAGAGGAAAACAATATTCAGGACTATGATGCATCTGAAATCTAACAGTACACATCTGTTAAGCTTTCCTGTAAAGTATAATTGAAATGAACTGAATTTAATCTATTTTGTAAGCACTTTTGGACTGTAGACAGCCGTTGCTATGGGCGTTGCTATGTGCGTTGCTATGTGCAAATTTCTTTATTTAAGCGTTAATCAAGGAGTGATTGAAGCAAAATCATTTCAAAATACGTTTTGCAAATGCTCAGAGACGTTGAAAAATCACTCTTATCTCGGTGAAAATTAAATGAGGAACATCATTAAAGCTATCCGTCTCGTGTACAAGTGCAACGTAATGTGATGCAATGTGATGGGACGTGACGTCATGTGGCGTGGCGTGGCGTGGCGTGGCGTGCATGACATGATGTGAAGTAATGTCAAGCCGTATAGTGAAATGCAAGGTTACACTTCTAGGCTAAGCACAACCATCCGTTGGTTTAACTCACTACTCACTTGCTTTTCTCAGCTGGTACTGAACAAACTTGATGATTTCTCTGTATTTTCCCGTTTGAAATCTGATATCATTAGCTTTTATAACCCACAATATCACGTGCATCTGGTCAGCAATTGGCGGCTTCTCGAGTCTGCAAGCAGCAGCTCCAGCGGCTTCTGCCTTATTAGAGCTCGTGTAATCTCGGGTCAAATTATATCCTAGTCGCTCAATTCCATATAAAATGCGAAACAGCTCTCCTGTTTTAGGAAAGGAGAACTTTGAATGAATGAATGACTGAATGAAGGAAAACTTTATTAACGTGCCAATGTAGTTAGCTATAGATTAGCTAATTGGGGACACCTAACTAAAGTCAATAGCAAATAACTAGTTTACAAAACAAAACAAAAAAACAACAACATAAAATAATAATAAATAAATGTTGAAGTTGATAAATTATTTACAGCATAATCATAAATACTATATAATAATATCAAATAATTCTGTTCATGATTTACATAGTTTGCAGCAACTGCTATTTTTCTTCAATGAGGTCTGAAAGGTCAGTTTCCCTTATTCTTGTCTTAAAAGTCGCGAGAGTTGGTGAAGTCCTTAATTCCTTGCTAAGTTTTGACTAGATATATGGACCCTGGTATCTTATTGTGTGTTTTGCATAACCTATAGTATTAAAACGAGGTATCTTTCTCAGGGTATTCATTTTTAATATGTAATGTAATTTCAGTAATATAGCCGGGAAATGCACTAACCTTTAAGGAGCCTCGGGGTAGCCTTAACTGCGTTCCCAAATTCTTGAGCGTTCTTCAAGAAAACGAGCTTTCATAATATAGTTATGTATGGGCAGTAAATCAAATGGAGACCAGGGTTCAATGGCAGTCCTCATTTCAGAGTAATCCAACGTGAATACGAGGCAATCACGGGCTGAACAAGTAAAAATTGCCTGAAATTACCTCACACACATGCTAGATTAAATTGTAAAGCAAATGTTGAAAGTTAACCGTCAAAAGGGTTATTATAGCGATTATGTTTACCTTATATGGAGCTCTACATATACTGCTGAGAGGAATCAAACAGATGGTAAACAGTAATAACATAGATCTCTAGTTGCTACAATAGTTTGGACAGAAGGTTCACACACAGACGATACCAGATCTTATTTCTATCCAGAAAAGAATTTATAGCAAAACAGCAGCAACAACAAAAAAACAATTCAAATCATATGTTACCTTGCAGATTGTAATACTTTGATACTCTTCTCCATTTGTTTCAGTAACCATAGCAACAGATTTCGTAACTCCTGCGCCAATCCCCACTCGATTTCCTCACTTCCGGCTTCGTTCACTTTTTGGGTCGGATTCTCATTGCAGTCTTTTTTGTGACAAAACTTATTTAGGTGAGTTTTCAATTTTCATTTTGTGTAATTTCATGGTCTGACCTTAGCTTGATCCTGATCTGTTGACCCGAGTATAAAGCTCTCTGAGCGACGCGGACAAACATGCCGAATACTTCATATATCTTTGTTTATGATATAAAGGAAGCGCCACTGCCACTGCCACTGCCACTGCCACTGCCACTGCCACTGCCACTGCCACTGCCACTGCCACTGCCACTGCCACTGCCACTGCCATTGTCACTGTCACTGCTGATGTCACTGTCGTTATCATTATTGTTTTAGGTCATTACGCCGGAGTTAAACCCGAAAGTACTTGTATCAAACATTTGGAAGCCTTGGCCAAGGATACTCCATCACAGGGGAAAAAGACTGCGATCCTTTGTCGGGACCAGTCTGACATGACTATTATCAGCGACTTGTTTAGTGAAGAGATGCTTGGCATTTTTCACATGTTCAGTGGTCCACCAGATGCTATACTCACCATCGATTCAATGTGGTCTTGTTTTATTGTTGTCGACGCCAGACCCATGATAGACGAGTTGTGTAACAAATCAGCTGGAACCCTCTATAAAGACGCACTGAATACAGCCAGGGAAAAAGTGGGTAAGAATGTCTGTCCTAAACCGAGATTTTCGAAGGTTTAATTAGTGGGGATTGAGTCATTAACTTAAGCAAAACTTTTATATTTCTTTCCATTCTATCAAAAATTCCGAAATTTTCGAGACGGGGACAAATGGTACTGAAATTTTTCCCGTGGAAATTTCTAGAAAATCCGCAAAGCGAACGATTCATTTGCAAAATGCGGATATTTTCGGCGGAAACTAAAATGGAACAGAAATATCCAGTTAGAAATTTCCGAAAATCTGGGTATACCACGCGAAGGAATGCGTGTACCTTAGTGCCAACCGTTTTCCTACGATGTGGGAAAACGAAATTCGAACTTCCAGTTTCGATTTTCATTTACCCACGCCATCGGAAAAGGCAATTCGAACTTTTATTTTTGTTTTCCGTTTTCCTACTACACTGAAAACGAAATTGGAACTTCTATTTTCGTTTCTCGTTTTCCCATGACTTCGTACAACAGAAGTGCAATTGTCATTTCCGTTTTTAATCTTCTATTTTCGTTTTTGTGTTCTATTGTATTATCTCAAGACAGTAGCCTATTAAGCAGACGCTAGCGCTTTTTTGGGCTTAGATGTATTTTTTCCTACCTTCAAATGAACGTCATAACTAACTGTACATGATGTCACTGACTGTACATACGGAGTTTGATTTCAACAAATAGCATTAAAAAAAAAAACTGTGAAGCTGTATTTATAGAAAACTGATATTTACGAATTTTTCAGCCCGCTACAAACCGCATCGAGCGAGCTGACTGTTAATAAAGACTTTCTGTTCAATAGGACTACCACGATATCGTTATCAGCAAGGAAATGAAATTATGCGTATACGATCACAAATCAAGGAATTAAATGATTATCTAGGTTCCGTTATAAAGTCAAAAAGGTTTCAGTACAAAGGCTTGTCATGATCGATTTGGAATATACAGTCGAACCTCCGATACTGGGCAACTTCTACTTCGATATCGACCAGTCAGTGTAAAACGCAGACTGCGGACTGGAGACCGGGGATAAAATGCAGACTGAAGGTAAAATGCAGACTACAGACCTTTTAATATATATCGTCGGTGTTATTTCCATTATATCCACTATTTCTAACCGGAAACAGGGTTGGTCAGGCTAATCGCAGTGAAAGTTTGCAATGCTGCGGTTAGACTGAATAACACTCAGGTTGGCTTAAATAACGCTCCGGTTTGCTTACTTACGGTTAGCTCTCAACGGTGGAAACGGTAACACGACTCAGTTAAAAGTCTACAGTCTGCATTTTACCCCTGGTCTTCATTTTACCCCACATGGTCCGCAGTCTGCGGTCCGCAGTCCTTATTTTACACTGATCGGATATCGACTGGTCTATCCGCAACTGACCTTCTCTTCTTGATACCATGCCAATTGGAAAACCTTTTTACACTTAGCAAACTATTGTGCAGCCCCTTAGATTCGGGTTAAGGTTCTTGATTACCTCGAGGAGGTCTTCATAACTATTATTTTCCTCAGTAAGAAAACGGCGGACAAAGACTTCGTCAAGGATGTGGTTTCCAGGTCTTTCGATAGCGACAGGAAGTGCCAATGTTTTTCCGATTCAGGTAGCATAAGAAAGTGACAAAAAAACAGAAAATAAAAACGAAAATCGAACTCCAAATTCCGTTTTCAATATCTTATAAAAACGAAAGACGAGAAAAGGAAATGACAATTAAAATTCTATTGTCCAAAGTTGTGGGAAAACGAAAAACGAAAATAAAAGTTGAAATTCCATTTTCAATGTAGTAGGAAAACGGAAAACGAAAATGGAATCTCGAATTCCTTTTTCCCATGGCCTGGGTAAACGGAAAACGAAATTGGAAGTTCGAAGTCCATTTTCCCACATTGTAGGAAAACGGTTGGCACTAAGGTACACGCATTGGAAACATAAAAACATAACCAGCTCGAAAAAAAAAAAAAAAAATCTGAAGAGGAGATAGGTCTGCTTGCCACGCACACGTGTCTAACTGCGTTAATGGGGCGACGCGAAGCTAAACATATCGGGCTGGCAGGTGTAGGATGTGCTGGAGCGAAAACGATCACATGTATTTTAATGAGTCTTTTCCTGGTTTTTATTCCGAATGGAAGAAACATCGAATTTGACGCACAGGCAAGGTATTTCTTCAATGGAAGCACGCTGCTTGTCTCGGAAATCAAAATTAAATTTAAAAAACTCTTAACCAAAACTATACATGAGAATATTTATATTGAACATCACAAACTTGTCGTGCGATCCTTTCACATTTTATTCTATACATCAGGTATCATTACAAAGTTACACACATATTTTCCCCCTTTTAGTCGAAGTACGATTAAATAATGAAACTTAAACAGCCAAACTACAAAATATGATAACTTTTCTGAACTGATAATCTGAAAATGGACCTATTTTATACTTATTCCAGTCCGAGGCTTAAAAGACATCAGCTATTTTAGTTTTGGTAAAAACTTACACGGATAACGGAATTTTCAACACTTGTTCACAGATGAAAACATGTCCTTTTGATCATTAGGGTCCCTGTTAGTTCTTATTTGTGTTTTGGTTTTGGAATGACATCCTTTAGGGTTCAAACAAAACTTGAGCCACCTCCATATTGATCTCTTTGAAGGGTTTAATTCATTTTCTTTCGAAGAGCACCCCCCTCCCTTCTACAAAGAATTCTCTAGGCAAAACACATCGAAATAAGTTCCTAAACTTAGCTATGGTGATTCTCTAAAGAAACGTTGGGCTTTGCCCCCTGTTTTTGAAATTATATATCATAGTTATTAAATGGTTTTTAAACCAAAAGACAAACAAAACCTTACGTATTTTCTATTTCGGGTTAGACGGCAAATTAATAAGCCACTCTTACCATGCAACTGGAGCTAGGCTTTTTTTTTTTGTTGTTGAACATTTAAGCTAAACTTTATTATTTAGCTGCCGTTGCTTATCGCCTGTTCTGGCACTTTTCGCGAAGCCACTCATAAAGCCACATTAGCATTGGCCAAATAACGTATAAAGAGGCGATTACACATGGCTTAATTTGTTCAAAACACCACCGGAAGCATTAAATGAAAAGAGCACATAACCGTGGTCAGAAACCATCCTTACGAGGTTTCACCTTAACTACCTTACAATAAACGCCGCCAACACCATTAGTGACAAACAACACTTTGGCTACAGGTATTGACTTCCAGTCTCCTCCCAGGTCCCGAACAGTTTTTTCAGATGGGCGCCATCTTTGGTCCCAGCTTTGAACATCTTCCTCATCATAAGAGATTTCTCCATAATGCATGTGGGTGTCTAGCAGCACCGTGCCCTCTGGGTAGTCTGCTGGTACAGTGGCAAAGTCTGGTATTACTCGAGGAGGTAGAAATGGAGTAAAACAAGAAGTATGTTTATAACTGAAGCCATGTACGGCTTATTATAAAAGGGGCGCAGTTAGTGACACTATTTACTCAATTTCACTGCGATTATATAACAAGGAAGAAAAAATCATAAACGATATTACAAAATAATAGTAATGTTAATAATAATTGTAATAACCACAATAAAAAAAAATCTTAGTACATAACAAGGCAGTGAGGAAGACTAGAAGAGAACTGACGAAACATACGTGCTAGTCAACCCATTATGAAAATAAAATGTAAAATGAGTAGGACGTAGAGCGCGGAAAATGGAGCTAGGGACGTGAGAGTTGAGGTGCACAACAAGGAAGGTGGTCTGTGGGGCGTGAGACGTGGAAATTGAAACAGACGACCCACGCTTAACCAAACAACTAACAACAGCTTTATTTAGAAAAGGTGAATGGATAAGATGCAAGGTCTGAAGCTCGATAAAATTTCAGCGGGTTTCAAGTCAGGTATTGCCTAAACAGAGCAGCCTAGGTTGAAGTATTCCCCTCTGAACTGGGCTTTCCTAGATATGCGCGCTAAAAGTTTGACGGAAACGTTGCAAAAACAGTATTCGGTATTTAAAGGTTAGGTTGATCCCACTGATTGGAGGAGCCTAATGTCGTGCGCGGACGTGACGGGATTTGGCGCATGAGTGATTTACTTTAGCCTGGCTGCGCTGGCAAGCAGGGCACCAGCGAGATGAAGATACTACTTGACTACTCTCTATTCTCCTCGCTGTCGCGCACGTTATTGCGCGCCATGAGCCAAGACCTTCAACTTGCTGGTAATTAACCCTGGTTTGCAATTATTACGGTTGAATCCCACTGTCTGTAACTTTCCAGGGAAGCAAAAAAAAAAGTTCGCGGGAGCTTGAGATAGCTGATAGTAAATGACTGAAAAAGCACATTCAAGGGAAAATGATTTGAGTTCAGATAACGGGAAGTTTGAGATTTCGGACAACTATAATTATAACCTCCCTCCTCCGAATCTGACCACAATCCGTCCGAAAGCTATTATATTCCTGGGAAATATAGACTTTAATTCCCTACTACAGTAGCAGAAACTGCAGCCATGCATCAAAAATGGTTTGATAGCATAGCCAGACAGNATTAAAAGTTAACCGAATTATAACTTTTTTTTCTATACAAATGTTTTTCGGCTGCTTTGTTTTGTGTATACAGTGATCATTAAAGCTCAAAACAGAAGGCCAAACAATATACAGAGAACCGCGCCGCAAAGCTACAAAACTGAAATCAAAATAATAATTCTACCTTTCTCCTGGGTTATTTGACTCTGAACAACGCGGCCCAGGAGCTACGCTTTTAGGCTGGCCTAAATCTATATATTATTAATAATAATTGTAATAACGCATCAATAAAAAATAAATCTTAGTACATAACAAGGCAGTGAGGAAGACTAGAAGGGAACTGACGAACCATACTTGCTAGTCAACCCATTACGAAAATAAAATGTAAAATGTAGTAGGACGTAGAGCGCGTGGAGCTAGGGACGTAGGAATTGAGGTGCACAACAAGGAAGGTGGTCTGTGGGCCGTGAGACGACGAAATTGAAACAGACGACCCACGTTTACCCAAACAACTAACAACAGCTAAAATTAAAAAAGGTGAATGGATAAGATGCAGGGTCTAAAGCTCAATAAAATTTCAACGGGTTTCATGTCAGGTATTGCCTAAACAGAGCAGCCTAGGTTGAAGTATTCCCCTCTGAACTGGGCTTTCCTAGATATGCGCGCTGCAAGTTTGATGGAAACGTTGCAAAATCAGTATTCGGTATTTAAAGGTTAGGTTGATCCCACTGATTGGAGGAGTCTAGTGTCGTCCGCGTACATGGCGGGATTTGGCGCATGAGTAATTTACTTTGGCTTAGCTGCGCTGTCAAGCAGGGCACCCGTGATATGCAGATACTACTTGACTACTCTCTATTCTCCTCTCCGCCGCGCGCGTGATATCGCTCCGTGAGCCAAGACCTTCATCTTGCTGGTAATTAACGGTTGAATCCCACTGTCTGTAACTTGCAAGGGAAACAAAAAAATAGTTCGCGGGGGGTTGAGATAGCTGATAGTAAATGACTGAAAAATCATATCCAAGCGAAAATGATTTGAGTTCAGATAGCGGGAAGTTTGAGATTTCGGACAACTATAATTATAACCTCTCTCCTCCGAATCTGAGCACAATCCGTCCGAAAGCTATTATATTCCTGGGAAATATAGACTTTAATTCCCTACTACAGTAGCAGAAACTGCAGCCATGCATCAAAAATGGTTTGATAGCATAGCCAGACAGGAATAACCCAAAATTTCCCGAGCCTAATTTCACCTCCATAACTGGGTTTGTCCAGGTCAACTGGGAACTCACTTTTTTTATCGTTTGGTCTTCGTTGACGGCTGCCGTTTTCTCTGTCATCTGAGTGCAGAGGCTATGTCATAAAAATGTAAAGAAATAAAGGTCAGTAAACGTAATGAGTCGGGGCAGGGAGGAGGGGGGAGGGAAAACAGGAAGACAGGGAAGCTGAAGAGGAAGGGAGGGGGAGGAATGAAGGACAAACTGACTAAAAAGACTTTATGAATGAATGAATGAATGAATGAATGAATAAATGAATGGACGAAACAATAAGTAAACAAATTAGGAACTAACGACTGAATGACTAATAGAGGAATCGATTGACTGACTGACTAACTGACTGACTGACCGACTGACTGACTGAATGACTGACAGATCGACTGACAAACTGACTGAAAGAATAAATGAATGACTGACGATCCGAAAGATCGACTGACTGAATAAATGAATGACTGACTGACGGATCGACTGATCGACTGATCGACTGATCGACTGATCGACTGACTGGCTGAAGGACATAATAAATAAATAAAACACTTTAATAGCTAACACAATAACTGGTAACCCAGTAGTTTACATTGTGGGCTATATATATATATATATATATATATATATATATATATATATATATATATATATATATATATATATATATATATATATATATAAAAAAAAAAAAAAA